ATATAACAAGAAAAAAATAGTAAAATATAAAAGAATGCCAGTTTTCTGATTCATTTTTTGTAAAAAAGTGTATAGGGTCGCTAGAGACCCGAGGTATGTAAATGTGTAAGTATTTTTTCCTGGCAACTATATTTACATATCTGATCAATTTGTGCAATGTATCTTTTTTCCTCAAGGTGGCACTGTTTGATACACAATGATGACGTGACCTTTCACTCATAATTACCCCAGGCATAAAACAAACGAATATCATCAGCAAAAATTGAACTGGTTTGAATGGCTTTACTGCAGAGCAATTACTATACGCAATGAAATATAAATGTCACTGTCATTTGATGCTGGATGTGGTGAATAAGCTGCCAGTGATCAAAATATTGAATATGAAGTCATTGAAAATGATAGTTTTGAGAATATGGCTGAGATCGTGAATATGAGGCAGAAAACAATTATGCATTTAAGGGTTAAGTCATTTGGGGAAAATTCCTGTATTTTTATATCACAATTTATATTGCAGAAAAACAAAATATTACAAAGTCAGTTTTTTTTTTATTACAATTTCATGCAACCCTAAGAGTGACTGACAGTCCTCTTATTACTGGGATAAGTGGATCAAGTGTCTTGCTCAAGGGCATAGTGTTGATAGCTCATTGATCCCCCTCCCTTTGCACAGCTTGAACCTACAGTCTTTTGGCTGCTAGCCCAGATCTTTAACCATTATGCCATACCATAACTCTTTCACTTCCCAAACGTAACTAAACTCCATTCACAAGTGAAGACAAATGAATGTGAAATAGGAGATCCAACGAAGTTTGTTTTCGTGACCATTGAAGTGCGCTAAGCTTTGTCCCTGAGCCCTTCAACCCCTAACATCTCATCCTAACCCCTTCAGGGTCCAGCGTCTAAGATTATGCCATCTTGTCCTCTCCTTGAACCCCTCTCGTCCCTCGGATCAGCCTCTGCTCCTTCACTGATAACCCCCTGCCCGCTCTCAGCGTTTCTCCCTTGGCAGAGCTGCATCACGGGGCCGGTTGCATCCTCAGGCCTGCCCGTCTACCTGGAGCCACAGTCTCACGCTCCCCCGTAGTGCAGCCGAAGACCGCTGTTGTGTGGCTGATTGATGCTTCGAGCGGAGAAGTGCTGCACCATGCTGATGTTTTTTATGACCTTCCAGCAGAGCAGGATTTACAGCGCCAAGCACCTTGGTACCAAGTGTGGGTTCGGCCAGCTGCTCTCTGCAAGGCAAAGCACATCACGGGTTTTGTTTATCACAGTGTGTGTTTGGGAGACAAAGAGAGCCACTACCAGAGGCTTAAAAGATATCCTTAAAGGGGAAGTTCTGCACCACCAGCGGCACCAAATGGAATGGCAGTGAAACGTGTCCATAAAAGCATTTGTTTCCCTTTAGATTAGAACATATTTCTAAAAAAAAACTGTGTTTTATAAAAAAAATATTGTCAAGTTGTTCTCTAAACTTTTTTCTGTATTGTATGACCATTGTATGACCATATTGTATGTGTGTGTGTGTGTGTGTGTGTGTGTGTGTGTGTTTGTAGTGATTGGGGAGCCTGTGAGTCTGGACTGGTATAACCCGCAGGGGGAGCGGATGGCCCCGTCTCAGCGGGTGGCCCTGCACAATGAAGGTGTTCGTTCCAGACTCACCCTCTACAATGCCAAAATAGAAGATGCTGGCATCTACCGGTGCCAGGCCAGCGACGCACAGGGACATACACAGGAGGCCACTGTGGTGCTGGAAATCTACCGTGAGTATCGCTAACAAATAAATAAATAACAAATAAATCTGAAGATTAGAAATTAACAGGGGCTTGGAATTAAATATCAAAAATAGAATAATTTCACAAAATGTCTTTTAATTAATTAATCTGTTTTAGGTAAAAAGTATTTTATGTACATCAGAACCACAGAATTAAATTTAGCTTTTTCAACAGTACTTTTCCATTTTAAACTTCTTTTTAAACAGAAATATAGAAATAACTAGGATTCGGTAAAGTGCAAAAATAAACAAACTAATTGCATGCAATAAAATCAAGATCAAGAACTGTGTTGCATTATCTTAATTAACTTTATTGAACAAGCAGGAGAAATCAATTTTTTAATATGTGTGTATTCTAATTTTGGCCTAGATATGTACGTTACATTTTTAAGAGTTGAGTGTCAGAAAATGACATGAGCCAGAACCGAGCGTCACTGAACTTCAGTGAACCAGAACACAGCAAATCTTTTCACATTAATGTTCCAATGTTTACTATACAGTATATTGCTTGTGTTTAGAGACAGAACCAGTTAGAGAATTTTAAGAATTTAGATTCTAAATCACCAGTGATTCAACAACATTGTGGGGCTCTTCAGCACGAAAAGCAAGCAGCTTTTCTCTCCCTTGCTCATGGCACTCAGCACACAGAATCCACCCAGGGGATACCAGGCTTCCTGGCACGCCTGTGGTCTCTGAGCGGTGGGGATGCTGTCCCTTTCAATATCCTATCACTGTCAAAGCCCAGACTCACAACTGCAAGAGACCAGACAGAGATACCTAGATAATTGTCTTTTTTGCTCTGTTTTACAAATAAACAGAGAAAATAACAAGCTGGCTTTTCACGTGGAGGAGTAAAGTTCTGACAGATTGAGTTTTATAGATGGTAAGTGTTGAAATATCAAAAGTTTGTTTGTCTCCAGTAACATGCATCATTCCAATTTCAGCCATTTCTGAAATCAATACAAAGATAGAAAAAAAATTGCACCTGAAGAAAAAAAATTATTCAGTTACCCTCCATCTGTCCTCATTTGTTCTCTTTGGAGATTATATCTGATGCAAACTTTTACCTCGAATTATCATACATTTACATTACAGATTTATTCAGCATATTACAAGGAATCATGCTGTTACATGTCCCAGCTATAAAAGCAATTCAAGGCTACTATGTATTGATGCAAATTACAATGGAACAACATCTTGGCACAACTATTTGGGAATCCATTACATAGCTAAGGACATTATGCGTGTCAGCACAAAAAAAAACCTCCACCATTGGAAATGCTGCTGTTGAAATAGCTGTTTTGATTTTCCCTGTGAATAGAGGACATCCAAAAGCTTTCAAAGAGAGCCTCACAATGCAAGGCAAATGGACGTGTTCCATCCGAAGATGTTTGACAGATTTGTTGATGTAAAGCTAAATGTAATTCCCCCATCAATGAGACAGCTGCCGACACACGACAGAGAGAGAACTAGCATTATTGTGAGGGGAAAAAGTGACAGGGGCAGGGGAGAATAGTTGTGTTGTGGTCAACTGAATGCTCCTTAGCATGGTGCATTAAAGTAATAGTTCACAACTTTCTTTGCTCTGTGGAACAAAAATTAGAAATTTTAAGGAATGTAGTGGTTGTTGTTTATGCAAATATAATGAATTGGGAACAAAAAAAAGATGCAAAAGTGCTATAAAAGTATCATAATTTACTCCATAATTGTGGACTTTTTATTCCAAGACTTTTGAAGTCATACAATAGTTACAATATATGAAAATGAAATTCAGTGAATGATAATATCCAGTGATTATCAGTGAGCTCTTAACCTGAGAACTGCTTTTAATAGATTCACTGCAAAAAAAAAAATTTTGTCTAGTTTTCTAGTACAAAAAATATAAACTTTCCTAAATCAAGATAAGTATGCTTGAGAAGCAAAATGACATATCTTAATTATTTTCTAAAAATATCTAAATATTTATAGAAATTAAAAATATTAATATTTTATCAATGAAATAATATAATATTAAAAATAAACTGTTTTCCTTTTGAATTAAGTTTATTTTTCTTATCCCTTTGACAGATACTTTTTGTTATTTTAAGCTTAAACTCACTTAATTTTGATAGCAAGAATTAATATCTTACATCATCTTGATTGAATAATGCTTGTATTGGGGGAAAAAATACAAAAAATACAGAATAATTAAATCACTTTTGCAGTAGATCTATTCAGATTCATGATCCATATTTATAAATCAATAATTTTGACTGGTTTTGTGAACAGAAATCTTGTGATCTTATTCATAAAAAAAAAATCTGAAACAAAAATGATTGGTCACAAATTCAAATTCACAAATTTCTACATCTCTCATGAATGCAAGGAAAGCTATCATATGACTTCAAAACTGCAGAATATAATACAGAAATGATCTATGGACATATTATGATGCTTTTTCTTTCAAGTTTTAAGGCTTCAATTCCCATACATTGTAATTGATAGTCCAAAATTTCTTCTTATATGTTGCACAGAAGAAGAAAAAAAGTTTAAAACAACATGAAAGTGAGAAAATAATGACAGAATTTTAATCTTTGAGTGAACCAATACTTTTGGAAACACACCTTAATTGATTCCTTTGTTAAGCTCTTGAATTAATAGGGAAAAGGTGACTAAACGTAATAAAGAATGAGAGTGAAAATGAGAGATGCCAAGCCCAGACAAAGTGAAGAAGAAATGAAAAGGTGCAAGGGTGAGGAATTTTCTCTCTTTAAAGGGACCGGCTTCAAAAGCTTAAAGCACAGGGGTAAAACAAGGCTACATGAAATGTTCACCAGATTCTCTGTCTTTAATCCTCAGTGTGTTTAATTAGTAGATCTTGCAAAACTTTCAGGAGATATTTCACAAGCTTGCTTCTTTGTGGCGGACTTTGTTCCAGGCTTATGTTCCATTAGAAGTTGTATTTAGAGCAGTGGGAGCCGTGTGTAAACAGACATGACTCACAGATCAATACGCAGAGTCACTTTGCTGATGAGGATGTGCAGCATCATACAGCCCTCTGAAGACACATTTTCTTATACTGCGGTGTAGCAAATGTTTACACCAGCTTCCCACACAAACAAAATGTGGTTTTGGTGTGTCAGAATGTGGCTGTGAATTGTGAATAATCAGAGACGATGTGGAAGCACACCTGATTTATGACAAGCAGACGTAGGTGTTGACGTTCCTTGTTTTTCGTTGATTTTTCTTTGGTTTCCGCACTGGGGGGTCTGAACTAGTTCTCCAAAGCCCTCATGTGTCACACCTGATTTATGACAAGCAGCCGTAGATGTTGACATGTCCCTTGTTTTATGTTGATTTTTCTTTGGTTTCCTCACTGGGGGGTCTGAACTTGGATGCCAAAGCCCTCATGACTTTTTTTTTTTTTTTTTTATTTTCGTCCCGCTTCA